AGTTGCCATTTCTATTTTAGGATGCTAGTTTCTTTCTGCATGCCCTTAATTAGCCAAAAGGGACAACAGTGGCACCGCGTGAACCACGCAGTGACTTTCGCTTACGGAAAGGGCTCTGCCCACAGTCGCTAAAATTTGTACAAGAACAGGAGTCATCTAACCGTCTTTTTAGCAGTCGTTTGGTTTGGGTAATGACCTTATAAAAAGGTGTTTTTAGCATTCCTTCCTGCCAAAAAGCGATTTTATTTGCAAAAATGGCAACGTTATCTGTGTAATACCTTAAAATGCATCTCAATATTTGACTTCGATATAAATAACACCTATCTTGGTGGAGTGTAGGAAAATACTGTACACTTAGTCTTTGCAAGTAATGCCATTAAAATTTTGAGAGTAAAGGGAATAATTATTCTACAGACCACCAACAATAGATCTTTTAAATATACACACAGTATTTGAACATATGCATATACACATATATTGTATTCTACAGCATCAGATCTGATGCCTGAGTCATGAAATACTCCAGGGAGTATTATAAATATACATATATGTATTATAAACAGGAAAATACACAAACACACACTCTGACTAGAATTATAGATGTATGTATACATACATCCACATATTATATATGTGGACGTAAAATTAACTCGGACTGTGTTGGCAGAGACAAAACTGAAACGAAGTCAAAATCTGTTGAGAAAATTTCTAGCAGGAAAGAGACCGCAAGTTCTTTATGTTAATAGTTTTAGTTTCACCTCACTTTCGATAAAAATAAACCGCTCCATACTTAGCAGATCCCCTCCTTATGCAAGGCCATCAGCTCCGCTGCTCGTACTGAGCTAAACCTTCTCGAGGCAGCCCTAAAATAGAGACTTTTACAATGCTGCGGCCACGGGCTACCACATTCACCCGGAGGCACCTCCGAACGCATCTCAGATCAGAAAAAAAGGTGACAGCAGCGCTCCTCGTTGCAACGGTAGAGGACATGAAGTGGAGCAAAACGTGAGCTTGTGGAAACCTGGCAAACGCTCACTTCGTCTCACTGCAAGATTCACTACAGCTCTTCTGTTCTGCAAACCCACCCCCCTCTCTCTCTTCACCACCACAGCAGTGGATTACAAGACACACACGAGGATGTGGTGTTGATCCTGGAACTGCAACACTTCACCGTGCTGTCTCCTAGCGGATCAGATTTCATTCTATTACAGGATTATAGTGATTCCAGCATGCAGATTTGTTTTATTTATTAGGCAATCATGAAGTTACATATTAAAAAATCTAACTATATATCTAGGCGTTTTAACTTCTATTTAAGCGCTCTTTAGAATACAGACTTGACGAAGTGTTGGACTCCAGATTAACGACCACACTATCAGCATTAATCATTTCTCTGGCAGCAGTTAATCCATTTAGCAAAGTTACGTATCTAGTTCCCACTCTCCTTTTTAAAGAGAAGTAGCAGTTAGCATACTAATCACTGTGGCTTGCCTTTGCAGCACATTTTACTTCCTTGGGAAAAAAAATAATACAAGGATTAGATCCAAAAATATAGTGCATCTTAAAAGCAGCATATACCCTTAGAAAGACATTTAATAAATTACTTGTACAATATATAAAATAATAGTTTTATACTGCAGCATCAAACTCTGACGCCTGAGTCATCACGTTAGGAAGTCTGTGATATAAATACTGGGATCTCCTGATAACACAGCCAACATTTTTGCTTTTGTTTTGCTTGTTTTGTTTTCTCTCTCTTTTTTTTTTTTTTCCTTTTTTTCCCCCTACCTTTTTGTTCCAGAATCAGCTTGCAATGAGCTTTAATTGTGTTCAAGGCACCCCCAGAGAACGCAGAGAAACAAACACATTATATAGTGTAGCACTCACCTGACAAAGCATAACAAGCCTAAATGAAATGAGGTTTCCTGGCGACACAAGTATAGCAATGGCAAAGGAAAAGGAGGAGTAGATACAAACTGGACAAAGCTTCAAGGACTCGCACGCCCACGAGAGCAGCGCAGTGCCCAGCGGGGAGATGGGGTCTCACCACGCCGTTCCCAAGCAACGCCCGACAGGACCGACGCTGCACGTATCCTCTTTGACAAAAGCAAAGAGATTCTTAAGATCATGGTGACCACTGGCCAAACTCTTAAAATTCATAAATACTGCTGTCAGTTGTTGTTTTTTCTCCTTCCAATGGTATTCTTGTGGTCAGCTGTTTTGACCTCATGAGACAAGAATGGTTGGGTATGTCAACTGGCGTCCAGATCTGAAACTAATTCTCCCAATGCCTTCCTTTAACGTTAGCCCAGCAACTGCTTTGAGAACCGCGTGGTTCAGAATAGCAAAAAAAACTCAAAACAAAATAGAAACAAAAAACAACCACCACCACCAAAAAACCCCCACCGAAAAACCATGATTCATGTAAATATAGGAAGCAATGACACAAAATCAGCCACTTCTAATGGGAAAGAATGAAACCAAACATCCAGAAA